TAAATTTTATTGAAAATACCCCTTTAGAGTTTAAAAAAGGCGAACGAAATTTTAAAAAATGTGAATCTGTTTGAGACTGTTAATCTGCCTCAGTAAAAATTCTTCCAAATATTTTATTTAAATTGCTACAAATATTAGGATCAAATGCGAAGGAAATCCTTGTATATTACTGATTAGATCAGTTTAGTTGAAACTTATATTAATTTTAGTTCAATTTTATCCATGGTTTACAATAAGATGGAATAGTACGAATTCGGTGGAGTTACACTGGTGTACAGAAATTAAGTAACATTGTAAATTTTAAGCAAATAGCCATGAAATTGCAGAAAAGGGGTTATTGCGATCAATACAATGAACGCCTAATTTAGTAGAAAGGTGACGCGTATGCAAATGAGAGGAACAAAACGTCATAGGTGACGTGGATGTACGCAAAACGCGTTCAGCTCAAGACTATAATAAGAGGAAAAACAGAGGCACAGTTAAAGCCATTCGCTGCTAGTGCAAGTGAGTTCTTCCGTGAAATATGGCTTGAAAAAATTTCCTGGATGACTTCACTTGTAGAAGAATGATTGGAAAGTTGGAATAGGGGCGTAGTTTTACTAGTGTAGCTGAAGAGTTCAGAATCAAAGCGTCGTTTCAAGCGCTTGGAAAGGCTTTCGAACTATAGTTACAGCAATTAGAATGGATGGTGGGGGCCGCTCTAGAAAAACAACTACAATGGCTAACCGATCTATCGTCCTGCATGCGAAAAGAGCCCGATACCAGTCAGCAAGTGCCATTGCTCAGCAACTGTGTAGAACAACAGGACGACAAGTGTTGCCGGCTACTATGGTCAGATACCTTTACAAAGCTGACCTATTCGCCTACCGTCCTGAATGCTACATCCCTTTCAAAGTTGACTATCGGCGTCACCATTTAGATTGGTGTAAGGAGTACAAAAACTGGACACCTCATCAATTAAGTCGTGTCAGTGCCACAAGCAAGTCTCAATGCCAGTTGATTTGCGGAGAGGTCGGGGCACGGTTTCATCCTAATAACACCACGAAAAGAAACCGTCACGGTGGTCCTGGAGTTGTTGTCTGGGAAGGCATTATACAGAAAGGGTGAACTAAGCTCCACATTTCCGACAGAGGTTCTTTAACTGGAGATCTCTATTGTAAGGAGATGATCCTTCCCAATGTACGTCTGTTCCGAGGTGCTATCGGAGCAGCGTTTTTATGGATGGACAATGCACGGCCAAACTGAGGGTGGCTGATGTTCAGTGTGGCCGTTACTAGTGATTGTTACTAGTGTTCTCATTTGATTTAAATCCTATTTTATTCAACTAAAACATGTCGGCGTCAGATTACCAAGAGAGAAACGGACACGCGTTTTGTATGAGAGTCTTTGTACCACTTATAGGCCAGATGTTTCTCAAGTACACTTCTTATTGAAGAGATATATTTTAAAGTTAAGCATGGCATACGAGGTAATAAAAATTAATAGTCCGAGATAAAAGTTCTGTTTAGGGCCATGTGTTCTTCAATCCAGAAGTGGATAATAGATTTAATTCTTGAAGATGTAACGGAAAATAAAAGATTAAAAAAGGCTAGGGATATAATTTTAGATCTAATTTAATTATCCTTAAATACACACACATATAGGGGAGACCGGGGCAAGATGACGACGTTAACAGTTTTTTGTTGTTTTTTAATTTATTTTTAAGGGTAGTAAAATCAATTTTACATGAACTGTTAGAGTAGTCCTTTGTAGTATTAAAATACATTACCATTTAATTTTTCCAATAAAAGAAGTTAAGGATTATTTTATTTTTTCATAACCTTAACAAATCGTCATTTTGCCCCAGTACCGGGGCAGGTTGACTTTTGCCTTGGGGCAAGATGGCGACACTGAAAACGGTTGAGCATATTTTATCTTTTGAATGTGTTACATGGTTGAACGAATGATAACTGTGTTTTTACATCTTACAAAGTATCAAACTAAGAGTAATGCATTGTAACGTAATGTTGAAGTGTTTAGTTGAGTAACTAACAATAGTCACAAATAAAAATGCCATTTTTATAATTGGAGAACATTCCTCATGCCAACACTATTGGCATTTACAGCACTGCATCCATTCTTCTGTTGGAGGGATCCTCTTCACTAGCAGGGAATCTTATAACACCGTCCTTTGAAGTTGATACAACTGGAATATTTGGCCTGGATTTTATTGAATTAGGCCTACAGAAACAGTTTGAGTTTCTTTTACTCCCTTTTTAGCTTCACGAGCTTTTTTTCTCTGTTTTTTTTAAAACTTCCTGTTCTTCCTTCTGCTTTTCCCTTTGTTCTAACATTTCTTTGATGGGTGTGCTTGTAAGAATGCTAGAGCTCAATTTTTTGCTTTTTCTTTTTTTCTCACATTATGTTGTTTTAGGCAATGGTTTGAAATAAAAAACACTAACAGTTTTTTTTGGTGCATTGGGGAATCAGCATTTGCCATAAGTTCTGGTTTTCCTGGAGGGTTTATATGCTGGTTTTATATTACCGGGGTCTGGGGATTAGCACTATTATTCTCAGATTCATCGCCAACAGCAGCATGGTTAGTAGTTTTTACCGCCACATAGTCATGTTCGCTAAACACAAGAAGATTATAAGGCTCGATACCATATTCTTTAAAACCTTTCAACGGCATTTCCATCTGTAGATGATTTGAAGTAAGTGATGCTCAAAGCCTCATCCATATTTTTGTTTGTGATAATTCGTTCTGGATGAGTGGCTATAAAGTTGTCACATGCTTGGCTATAGTACGTTTTTAACTGGTCAAAAAAGGACGCAACAAGGGGCTGGAGATGATGTGATGTGTGCGGCGGTAACTCAACCATGATGATGTATTTCGCTCTGCAATATAAGGTAGCCTGCAAAGTTATATGAGTTTTGTGATTGTCAAAATTCAACAGAGTAGGAGATTCTTTGCTTGGTTTCACATGAAGATGAAAGTACTTCAAAAAAGAGAAAAAAGGTGCCCTCATTGTTCCAGCCGTTATCACTACAATTGCCTACAGTTCCTGGTGGGGCTCTTTCTACAAGTTCAGGAAGCATTCGCTTTCTTGTAAAAAAAAAATTAGAAAAGGTTCTAGGTAAAAGTCAATAGCTCTAAAGCAACAAATTATTGTTACATTCCTTCCTCTTTAGGAGAGAGGGGGCTTAGCGGATGGCAAAAATGTGTTCCTCTGGTCACCCCCTTTCGAACGAAACCTTTCCCGATCCGATGCACAGCTTAGCCTCAGTAGAGATGGAAACGCAAGGTCACGCGGACATACACACAGACAAACAAGTGCTCACAGGATTTAATAGAATGGACAACAATAGTTTAATAAATTCCGAAACACGGGGAAGATGACGAGCTCGTCATCTTGCCCCAGACTGTCTGCTTAAAAATATTCCTTCTCATTACCATTAAGGAAGGCAATTAATTCATGGTAATAGGTAGTATTTAAACCAAGTTTCTCATAAATATTGAAGAGAAACTTTATATTTTACCTGTATCTGTAGCAGAGCTTATTTACACATGCATAAAAGTTATATCGTGGCATCAAAAAACAATCAAAGCTTCACAACTAACACAAAAAGGACAATTTCAGCGTGTCTATACTATTGTTTAACGAAAGGCCAAAAGGAGAGCCAGTAGTGTTCATTTAATGCTGCTACCTAGTGGAATACGGAAAAATTAAGACATTCGTCATCTTGCCCCGGTCTCTCCTGTATATATTACGGTAAAACACCGAAATTTGGAGAATGTCGGCTTTCACAGGTGAATCTCAACATTCACATAGTCGCTTGGTGTATGTCCGAAATATTTGCTAAATACCCTTATTTCTGACTTACACCTGTAAATGTCGACATTCACCATGCACTAATGGTGAATGTTGAACATGTCCGAGATATACATTTTTTTCTCCGTAATTCAGTTGCGATAAATTTTTCGCCTCTCTTTCTAAGAGGAATGAATAAAAACTTAAAACACACAGTACATTCAAAATGAGAAAAGCAAATAATGGAAGTTAAAAATCTACTTAATTATACAGTACGTTCTAAATGAGAAAATAAAATAATAGTAATAAAAAACTTACTAAATTATGTGATTCAAATTTTATTTATTGCAACCACTTAAGCTCTTATGACACTTTGAATTGCACAAGGGGCCCTTGCTTTCACAACTACATTTATTTGTGGAACACTTCCTTTTGCAATGACAGCTTGTATAGCCTTGCCCACTGCTTCTCGAATAATTAGCCGCAGCTGCTTCTCCCAGCGAAATTTCTTTAAAATAAATCTCATCTATGGAAAGTAACTTTTCGTTACAACATACGAACTGATTACGTGTGTAAATCTGCTTGAAGGTACCATTTTCATTTGCAAGTTTTTAGAAGTCAGAGTCTTCTATTCCAACAACAACCGCTAACACATTTCGGTTATCTGTACGACCATGGTCGACATCAGGGACTTGTATTCGTACAGTATCACCAATTTGAGCAGGAGGAAATTGTTTTTGTGAGGTTCGTAACATTTTTGTTGTTTGCAGTAGAAGATTCTCTTTCACGCTAGCTACCGCAAGGAAGAAAGAGATTCAAGCTCCTTTTTTTTCGACCTCCACCAGAGCATATCTGTGATTGTCGACATACACCGGTGAGGGTACGAATGTACAAGAATGTAATGAAATATTCGATCTTTCAGAGACGTATTTAGTGTTTGTTGACATTCACCGCTGAAAGTCGACTTTCTCCAATTTCAGTCTTTCACGGACACATATGTATGTATCTGCTGTTTAAATTTTCAATCGTTAATAAAATACTTTGTATTCATCCATTCAAGTTCAAATACACTTTTTTATACATATAGTGGTTGGTATTTGATGTTAATACAGTTTTTTTTCAATTAATTAAATTTAAAAATGAATAAATAGTAACAAACTCTAAAATAACAGCCCAACAACGTATATAGAAAGGAGAATCGTTCGTTGTGTCCCTGTAGTACAATGTACGGAGCGTTGGATTTCTAATCCAAAGGTAGTGGGTTTGAATCCCACCTGGGATGGCCTAATTTTTGAGAATGTGATTTATTTTTTACTATACTGTTTTGTTAGAATAATTAAATCTAATTAATGAATGAACAGAACAAACAAAAAGAATATTCTAGCACCATATATAGAAAGGCAAATGGAAAATTGCAATGAAAATCGCTTTCTGTTTTGTCACTTAATATTGTGATTCTGTCATATGTACAAGGGGTGATCAAATGAAAAGGTACGAAACGACACGGTGGGTACAAATATAGACTTTATTCAAAATTACACCATAGGCCTGAGCACAACGATCCCACTGATGAACTAGCCGCAGGATTCCTTGTTCCCAGAATTCCTGTGGCTGTGACGAGACCCAGTCCTTCACAGTGTCCTTGAGTACGTCGTCCGAGTTGAAGCGCTTTCCTTTCAGGTGTTTCTTCAGTGGACCAAACACATGGAAATCGCAGGGTGACATGTCCGGACTGTAGGACGGATGGTCCAACGTCTCCCATTGGAACTTGTCCAGTTCCATTTATGTGACTCTGGAGACGTGTGGACGCGCGTTATCATGGAGCAGAACCACACCCTCCGTGAGCAGCCCCGGTCTTTTGTTCTTGATGGACCTGCGTAGGCGTCGGAGTGTCTCACAGTACACATCGGAGTTAATGCTTTTTCTGTGCTCGAGTAATTCTGTGCTCGCATCATTTGGACGCCGCTTTTTATAAGAGCCTTTGCTCTCTCCTGCGCATGCGGGCACCCGCGCATGATCCGATCCCAGTCAGAGTCTCCAATGGCATCCCGAGATGTCTCGCTACATTCTCCCTTGGTGGAATATGCAAATATTTAACTGTTTCATTTTTATGTCGTTTCGTACCTTTTCATTTGATCACCCCTTGTACATACATATTTATATTAATTGTAACTATTTAATAAAAAGTGACTAAAATAAAATTTTTCTTTGTTGACAAAAGTAGGAAATGGCTTAATTTTTTTATATTGTTTGATAACATACTATATGCATCATATTCATTTTTGTGCAACTATGCTTTCATCATCGTTTAAGTATAAAATTCTGTCAAACATTTCTGAATTTCGTGTATCTCAGATGATTTCTCGTAGAGTTAGGAAAAAAGTGTTTTTCGCTATAAGTTTTGTACACCAGAGTACATTGTTTCTTCACCGTGGGCCATTGAAATTTCAAAAGTAGGGAGGAATGATCTGACGAATGCAGAATCACATGAAGGGAAGATGAGGACACAGACATGGAATATGAAAATGATCAGTATTTAAGAGAATATAGGTGACGAAGGAGGGAGAAACGAAATCTAAAGCACATGGTGTAGTGGACTTCTCAATCAGAACGCGTTTTGTAAGGCTGGAATTTGCTTACAATATCGTGTAATGTCTCGAATAAGAAAAAGAAATGCTTACCAGCAAGTGTCGGATTTCGATAGAGACAGGATCGTTGCCTACCGTAAGTGAGGATTATCGTTTCGTGATATCGTCCGTCGCAGTGGTCAAAATCCAACCACTTCCATGCCAATATGGAATCAATTACTTACTGAGGGTCATATTGAACGGCATATAGGATCTCCACGCCTTCCCATGACTAACAATCAAAGGGGACAGACATATTATGAGAACGGCCCTGCAAAACCGTAAACCTTATCACAGATCATTAGTCAAGAAATGGGAATGTTTTCAGCACGCCCAGTATCCGTTCGTAAGGTGCGACGATGTTTGCAAGTAGCGTGAACTGTTAGCATTACTTCGGCTTCCTTTGAGAAAGTAGACTAGAGAGAGAGAGAGAGAGTGAATCTGGGGCGTTGAATGACAAAGCTGGATACAGGAGTAGCACAAGAGAATTCTTTTCAAACAAGTTCCAGTTCTGCGTACAGTATTCTGATAGCCGTATACGTGTCAGAAGGCTCCAAAGAGCCACTCGTCACCTACTTACATTCGATATTGGTTTAAAAGTCGTGCACCTGGTGTGATAGCTTCGGCAACCATTGGGTAAAAGACGCGCACATCTTTAGTTCGGATTGATGGTGATTTGAAGGCAGGTTTTGACACATTTCTGACATTTTACTTTTAGTGGATGAGCCCTACCTTTGTGATCTGCTAAAGACCGTCTTCCAACAAGATAATTTGAAACCGCATATTGTACGTCATGTTCTGACTTTCCGCGATACACAAGATATTCGGTTGTTACGCTCGCTTGCATGGTCTACCGATCTGTCACCCATTGCAAGCATTTAGTCATTGGTGGCCGAAAGATTGCCCCTTCACCCTTCTCCAGCTAATACAGTCGATGAAGTGTGCCATAGGAAGCACATGAAAGGAGTGCATGTGAAGGAGCACATGTACTCCTTTCATGTGCTTCCTATGGCACATTTGACTACTTCCAGCCTTTCTTATAGCTATATCTGTCATTCGAAAGGCTTCCTAAACTTTTGATACTACACTTTTGTCACAATTCCAAACTCTAGTACAACAATCATCAAACTAACCTCTCTTCAAGCTTGCTGATCATTCTGTCACATGTAAAGACATTCCCGTGGTTTCTTGTAATTATTATGAATGCAAGATTTTATTTTTACTGGTAGAGAAAGTCTGAAAATGTGCCCTTCCTCCTTTTATTGGCACTGAGTTGCGTATTCCATGCATTTACGTGACGTGACGTCCCCTCTGATGTCATATTGCTGATATTTGCAAATGCATCAACTTTCAACTGAGTTATCTTTTCACTGTACTGATTACAGAAAGTCAACAATTTCATGGTTGTATTTTGAAAAATGCATTTGTTGCTCAAGTTTTGCACACTAGTGTATAGATATATACAATATAATAGCTGACTTTTCTGGTCAGCCAATCACAGATGTTCCACTAGATATCAACAGATTTACATCCAAAATTTGTCTCTCTCTAATTCGTAACTCCTTGCTGAAACCGGATTGCCTAGGCTCACCTCACCCAACCCCAACAAGAAATTTTTTCCAAGTCATTATTTTTTCATCCACTTTTAATCTTAATTTTTTAACACAATTTTTATTCACAGAAATGTAATTATTTTATATATTTAATCAATAACAGTTTTATTTTTTTTAGTAATATATAATATAAGAGGAATAGAAACATTTTTTAAAGTCATCTAAAAGTTATGAAAGGAGGTATAAAGGTTCAAAAGAACTAAGTACTCCCACCGAACCCATTGTCAATGAAGACAATGTGAGTGACATTTTCAGTACTAGAAAACTGTAGTAATAATTAGTGATAATTCTCCAATTTTTAGGAAATTCACCTCTTTTGTATTCATAAAAATTGAATAAAATTAATGTAGTTCATACAGAAATGTTAAGGCAGCCTTCTTCCAGCAGGAAAAAAAAATTCCCGGGAAAATTTGGTAGTTGTTTTTTTATTAGCCTCATGTTGAATATATATTATTGAAAAAAATATAAGCGTGTACTCGATTTTCGGAAATAGTTATCTCAGTAAACTAAAAATTTTGATAACGAAAACAGATTGCTATTCATGTAATATAAAAACTAAATGAGTTTACTTAAGCCTTTCTCTTTCGATCAGTTTCGGAATGAATAAATTACTCGAAAATATGGAAATGATATCGAATGATGAGTTTTTCGACTTAAACATCTTACAAAAATTCATTCATTATAAAAATTGAATTATCTTAGAATGTATTAAGGGATTTATTTTTCTCAAAAATGGGAGCAATTTATGGATATCAATGAACTTTTAGATTTCTTTCACCCTCCTATGGTAAATTCTTCAAATAAAAAAGTACATTCAATTATAAAAAAACTTTATATATAATACAAAGAGTAAAATTAAGCGTGTAAAATAAACATACGACCAGGGGAAAAAAACAAGCTTTTTTCTTAAGTCCATGTTTGAGGATGAAAGGAAATGTTTTAGAGTGAAAAAAACTAAATTTCTTACAGGAAGATTCTCCCACTAAAGGCTGCCTAATTACAAGAAGAGTAGAAAAGCTTCAGTATTTCGAGTAACCAGTAAGCAATGTAAAAAGTCTGCAGTCTAATTGCTTTTTTATTTGCATAAGACGTAATGTAAAATAGGAGCTACACGATTTTCTAACCAGATAGGGAAAGAAGTTCTGGTGTAGTTTTATACCTTACTAAAAAAAAAAAAAATCAAAACAAAACAAAACGTATACTACCAGATAAAACTGTCGGTCACAATACTGTAGGTCATGTTATGTCTTCAAAAAGTCCCTTACTACCAACTAATTGCTCTTTTGTGTGACACAAAAAAAAATTAAGGTCTAGAAAAAGTTGAAAATTTTTTTTGTCACCCATCTTTACTTTTTCGCTCGTTAAGCCTGAAGATGACGCTTTAGTGTAGTAACTGTTATACGGAAAACTTTGTTTTAAAAATACAGAGCGTCATGTTGAATGTAATTAATTTAAAAGTGCGTTTTTTCTCTTCAGCTAGAACAGTGCAAGATGTTTTTTTTTGATACGACGAAAAGAATTTTGAAATCAAGATTTTTTTTCTTATTTTGTTTGACGTGATGTGAAATGAGATGAAGGAATATTCTAGAACTCTCTCTTGTATGTGAATTCAGCTTCCTTTCTACTTGTTTACGGTGCCCTGTGTGTGTGTGACTGATGTTCTGACTCGCTATTTTAAATTTATTCTTACAGAATTTGTAGCTACCAAAAACGGAATGAAATGTTAAATAAAGTATGCAGTGAAACAGTTGAAAGCGCTGAAGTAAAAATATGAAAAAACATTGCCTGTAAAAATTTAACAGTTACAATGAATGCTTTACAATAACAGAAATAAAAGTTGAATATTAAATTATATATTTTTTCCTAAGCTAGACACCTAGACATTATAAAGGAGTGAAACTTCATCAAACCATTCTATTTTTCAGCATTAGTTTTTCAATTAGCATGATACATTTTTATAAAGCACTGCATGTAATCTGATTACAGCACTGTTGTATATATCATATATACATATATATATATATATCTGATTATTTTGTATT